TACGGAAGGTATCTGTAGAATCTAAGCGGAAACGGTACCGTGAAATTAATTTCAAGGATATGAATCAAGTATAAAGAGCAGCCGGATGACAGGCAGAAGCATTAGTCAAAGAGCAGATATCAGCTATGTTGGTGACGATTCTGCCATTTGTTCTAAGTGCGTTCTTAAAATTTGTTTTATCGGTAAACTATTAAGGCAGACAGTGGAAAATAATATTTTAAATTCGACTCTTCACTACAATTCACGTTTGTCGCACAATTATGTCCCGTAACATCGTAATTTATTTTTATCCGTACCGCTTTCGCTTACTTGTTATTTCCAGGGTCGGGAAGTAACTCGTTACTTGTAACGAAGTTACAGTTACAGTTACTTTCTCTCCATCTGTAACTTAAACTCAACTCAGTTAGATTTTTTCAACAACTAATAGTTACTTTGTATATTTTTTAAACCTCCACAGATCGCATTGGGCCTTGCATTTGCGCATAAACGCCGTTACCGACACTTTACAATTCAAATGTAGATTTGATATTTTCATTTTCATTGCAAGAAAGTAACCGCAAAGTAACGATTCGTTACTGTTTGAGTAACTGTAACGCGTTACCTCTCAGAATTGGTAGCTTGTAACTGTAACTGTAACTCGATACTTTAATAAAGTAACTTTCCCAACCCTGGTTACTTCACAGTTGCGAATATCACTGTCGATGATGTCCATCGACAGTCCGAATGGACGACGTACGGTCCGGAATGCACGTACGACGTTCTCGTCAACATGTCCCTGGCCAACATCGTTGAGGAAAACGACAATTTCTGCGCTATGATTGCCACCGAGCTCAAGTGCCGGGCCAAGGGAGACGACAGTCTGAGCTGTCACTTCGAGAACTCCCGGATCAAACGTCCCGAACCGCAGGACAACAGGTGCTCGAACGCTAAGGATTTTGTACCCACGAGATACAAGTTCGTGGGCGACGAGCCCTTCGAGATCAGGTTCAATTCGAGGGGCATCGAGAATCTGGTGGTGCACAGGTCGATTCCTAGATGGAGGCTTGACATGATCAAGGTCATAGCCAGCCAGCTAAACGTCGGTTTCGAAATGCAGGAACATCGGGATAGATTCACTATTATGGAAAATTCGACAGTGGGCCACTGCGAGGTCGACGTTAAGATCATCCGCGCGAATTCGGACTCCGAAGATGGTGACGACGATTCCGCGGAGAACGGCAAGAACTTTGAGATCGGACTCATGCCGTCGAACAAAGACTTTGCGCATTTCTCAGCGTTGGAGAGACTCCAGATAGAAAAGATCCGACAGCCGAAAAGATGCCCGCGTAGAACGATATACTTCTTTGGAAATCACGAAGATTACAGTCATGGTAACAGGCAACTTTACATGGATATGGTACGATAATAAGAATTCTTTTACGTCATTCAATTTAACTCGTATATAAAAAAAAATACATTTCTTAGCAATCTTCTAATAAACAATTGTCGGTATATTCGAAACTTACTATATTAGCGAGCATATCCTTTAAAAGTAATTTAATTTCTTATATTTAAATCGTCTATTTCTAAACTATCCATTCTTGGAGAAAACATAATTTCAACCCGAGCATTAAAACGTTGAAGCTTACCCTCTTTTACTTTCAGACTACTTCCAGCAGTCATATGACGATCTCAAGCGACAGATTCGTATCCTACACGATATCGGAAGGCGTAATGAAAACGGCAAATAAGTCGCAGATTATGCGACCCTATCAAAAGATAAGTCTGAAGCTGAAGAGAATAGATTCTGCCCGATCTTCACTGCCAGAGATCCAAGATCCGGCCTCGACGAGTCTGTTCGCTTTCTCAAATCTGCAAACTGTTACGGAGGATGCTGCGATGAAGTAAATTTATGTAGATTGTTTCACAAATTTATATGTGAAACTTAGATACAAATAATATTCCCATACTAATCAATATTTCATAACAATGACGTTTCTATTTGTAATTCAACGTCATTCTATAAAAAGTGCATTATTGAAAAAAAATATATATATAATCTGTAAGATACGCATACTATTGTTTAATGTATTCGTGCTTTACAAACCATTCAATATAATTATTACAACGGATTGTTTAAAGCAAGAATAACGCAGTTACATATTGGAAAATTCACGTTAATTCTTCCAACGCCAGCGCTTCTCAATTGCTAAGTGTCCTCGCTATATTAACTCTTCCTCCTTCTCGCTCTCAGCGATCGTCATAACACATTTAGAGAACTGAACTAAGCTCGTGCGTAAAGTGACTTCTACTTAGCAAATTTCTCCAAGAAACGTTTGCGATTGTAAAGCATAGCGTTTCGATGGAAATAATTTTCGGACCTTCGCAAATTATTCAATCCATAGCAAATTTATCAAATGTGTTTGCCGTCCCGATAAATGATTACGATTATCTTGATATTATAATTGCAAGATATAATTGTCACAAGAACGTTTGATTTAAATTAAGGAATGAAGCATCTTTGGCGAAATAATATAAAATCTATTTAGTCATAAATAAGCTTTAGAATGTAATATTCTTCTAATCCTCTATAGGATTAGAAAAATATTACATTACATTACATTACATTATATAACATAGAATTAATCACGGCAAATAGTTGCGTGAATATCAACGTTGAAGTTAAAATGTCGATCACGTCGTCAGGTCGAAAATGATTATTTACGTCGTATGACATAATTTACGATCGCGTATGTATATGAACGTGCATGCGTCAGTCGTAATTCACGGTGTCCCGAGGTCCAGAGAAAAGACGCAAGCGCTGTGGAACGTTATATATGCCATTAAATAATGAGCAAGTTCTAATATAAAGGAGCGTGCGAGTGTAAGAAGAGTAGTGTCGCGTACATAGGTTGAAGCGCATTGTCCCGAGATGAACGTCATCCTGATTCCATTCTTCCTAGGTTGGTGAGCCATTAACAAATATCTACAACCGTTCGAATCCACGCGCCTATCATTCAACGTCGCACTCGTCCGTCCGGATGCAAACTCGCGTACATTTTTGAATACTTTCACGGAGAAAAATTGGAAAATTCGCAAAGGTTTCGATGAAGAAAATTTTGAAGGAAGAAAATCAGATAGAAAGAGTATCGCGTGCATATTGGAGACTCAGCAAATCTCATTTACAAAAATTCTATCTTTCTAGCGATATTAATATTAAATTTCATAAAAATTGTTCCGCCACATTCACTTAGCGGCCGACGTAGTCGTCAACAACACGTCGGAATGGACGTACGGACCGGAATACTTGTACGACGTAGACATGTCTTTTGTTCTAACACCGGATCGCCACGGACCTGTTCAAAATGTTCGAAGAATTAATACACTAAGCTGTCGCCCGAAAACGCCGGACCATCTGTTCTGCCATTTCAACAACGGAACGGAAATGGCATCTGTCAAAAATCAGCACATGAGTAAAGAATCAGAAATGGAAGAAAAGTTCGAGATCAAGTTTAACGAGCGCGGTGTGGAAGGCGTGATCGTCGAGCCGAACACTCACGAGGAAATGGTGAACGTTATCCGGAAGATTGCCACGCAGTTTAACGTGGCTGTTGATCGGAGCAAAATTGACATGTCGCACTTTACGGTGAGAGAGGACTCGTCGATGGGCAACTGCTCGACCATGTACAGTGTCACACGCGGAAAAGCCGAGACGGAAAGGGGAGGAGATTTTCGGCTCGCGATTTTGCCGTTGACCGACGCGAAGAAACGTGGGACGACTCTTTCGATCGAGAAATCTCGGACGGAATGTATTAATCCACCGCAACACGTCGGTTTCACAAAGGCAAAGTTAGAGATGGTACGTACACGCGTTTGTGCCTCTCTGTGTGTGTGTGTGTGTGTGTGTGTGCGTGTGCGTGTGCGTGTGCGTGTGCGTGTGCGTGTGCGTGTGCGTGTGTGTGTGTGTAATTATGTATGGATATATGTATAATTTTTGCATTATAATTTTTGCAGGTGAAATTTCTCAGCAAAATACAGATCGAGCCAAATAAATTCGAAACCTCTAGTGAATTTGATGGAAAAGTACAATACGTCACATCCGAAAATGCTGGAGAAGTGTCAATGAACGAACGACTACACATTAATTTAAACAGCATTAAACCTGCGCAAAACAAACTTCCGACGCTTTCTCACGGCGAACTGACCGATTTGAATACCAACCATAAGACACCAAGCAATACAGCAAATTAAAACGACAATATATCTATATTATACAGTAAACGTTACATTATGTTGTACGCAGGCTATAATTTGCTGCCATAAATGTCTCATCAAATTAAAATTACACAAACATAGAGTTAAATAAAGTATCTCTCGAAATAGTTTCGTTTCTTTCGTCTCTGATATTTTTCTATCGATACTATCCTTCTTTCTCACTTTTCTTTGATCCTTTTCTGCTTAACAAACCCTATAAAACGTTTGTAATTATAATGTTTCGAAGTAAATAATTATCAGTTCTTTCCCTATCAAATATGATTGTTGTTACGATAATTGACTACAATTACCTTATTATTGCACGACAATATTGTCTAAAAAATCACCTTTAATTTAAAGAACGACATATTTTTGATAAAGTACTGCACATATATACAATAAGCGCTTTAGAATATAATATAGATATTATAATCCCGTAGAATTAATCACGGCACATATTATCGTTTCAGAAGCATCAATGTTGATGTTTCTTCAGAAATATTACGCATGTCTTATATTGTTCTGCCATTACTTCTATTGTTATGACGTCATTTTATTATCGCATATACAGTCGTAATTCACGGCATCCTGGGGTACGGAGAAAAGACGCAAGCGCTGTGGAACGTTATATATGCTATTAAGTAATGAGCAAGTTCTAATATAAAGGAGCGTGCGGGTGTAAGAAGAGTAGTGTCGCGTACATAGGTTGAAGAGCATTGTCGCGAGATGTACGCCATCCTGATTCCATTCTTCCTAGGTTGGTAAGCCACTAACAAATATCTACAACTGCCCGAATCCGCGTGCCTATCATTTAACGTCGCGCTCGTCTGTCCGAATGTAAATCCGCGTACATTTTTTAATAGTTTTACTGAGAGAAATTAAAAAGTTCATAAAGGTTTCGATGAAGAAAACTTTGAAGAGAGAAAATCAGATAGAAAGAGTATCGCGTGCATATTGGAGACTCAGCAAATCTCATTTACAAAAATTCTATCTTTCTAGCGATATTAATATTAAATTTCATAAAAATTGTTCCGCCACATTCACTTAGCGGCCGACGTAGTCGTCAACAACACGTCGGAATGGACGTACGGGCCGGAATACTTGTACGACGTGAACATTTCTTTTATTCTAAAACCGGAACACCACAGACCCGTCGAATATTATCAAGTAATTGCCACAATAAACTGTCGCCCGAAAATGCCGGACCATCTGTCCTGCCATTTCAACAACGCGACGCAAATGGACTCTATCAAGAACAACAACGCGAGTCATGTATTGCATATGGAAGAAAAGTTTGAGATCAAATTTAACGAGCGCGGCGTGGAAGGCGTGATCGTCGAGCCGAACACTCCGGCGGACACTGTGAACGTTATCCGAAAGTTTGCCACTCAGTTTAACGTGGCTGTTGATCGGAGCAACATTGGCATGTCGCACTTTATGGTCAGAGAGAACTCGTCAATGGGTAATTGCGCGACGACGTACAGTGTCACACACGAGAATCCCGGGACAGACACGGAAGGAGATTTTCGGCTCGTGGTATTGCCGTTGGCCGACGCGAAACCTGGGACGACTCTTTCGATCGAGAAATCTCGGACGGAATGCATTGACTCACCGCGACATTTTGAAGTATCAGACGCAATCTTAGAGATGGTACGTTCGCACGCGTATGCCTGTGTCAATGTATAAATATGTATGTATAATTTTTAGATTATAGTTTTTGCAGGAGAGATTTGTCAGCAACATACAGATCAATCAAAAGAAATTCGAGAGCTCTAGCGAAATCGATGCAAAAGTAAAATATATCCGATCCGAAATTGAAGTGTGGTCAAATACAGAACTAATACACGTTAAGTTAAACAGCATTGAACCCGCGAAAAATGAACTTCCGATGCTATTTTACGGCGGACTGATCGATTTAAATATCAAGAATGGGATACCAAACAATTTGATAGTTTAAAACGATTATATGATCTGCCGGTATATGTCACTACGTCGTAGGAAGGCTATAATTTGCAAGTATGAAGTGCAGGGTTGAGAAGTAAACTCGTTACTTGTAACGAAGTTACGGTTACAGTTCCTTTTTTTTTGAAAGTCTAACTTAAACTCTGTTACTTTCTTTCCAGCTGTGACTGAAATGTAACTCGGTTACATTTTTTCAATAACTTTTAACCAGATGATTAGTTACAATAAAAGATTCTTTATATATATATTTTTTTTAAACATCCGCAGATTGCATTGGGCCTTGCATTTGCGCATAAACGCCTTTGTCGGCACTTTACAATTCAAATGCACAGTTGATATTTTCATTTTTATTGCAAGAAAGTAACTGCAAAGTAACGATCCGATACTTTTCGTGTAACTGTAACCGTAGCGCGTTACTTTTCACAATTCGTAACTTCTAACTGTAACTATATAGTTACATTTTTAACGATAAAACTGTAACTGTAACTATACACTTTTATAAAATAACTTTCTCAACTCTGATTAAATGTCCAATAAAATTAAAACTACATATAAATAGCGTAAAATAAAGTATCTTGCACAACCGTTTCTTTTCTAACGTCTCTGATGTTTTCCTACATTCTCTATCTACACTATCTCTCCTCATCCTCACCCTTCTTTAATCCTTTTTTGTTTAACAAATTTCTCTAAAAAACGTTTGCGATTGTAGAACCTAATGTTTCGATGTAAATAATTATCAGTTCTTCCCCTATCAAATATGATGTTACGATAATTGACTACAATTACCTTATTATTGCACGACAATATTGTCTAAAAATCACCTTTAATTTAAAGAACGACATATTTTTGATAAAGTACTGCACGTATATGTATACAAATATGCGCTTTAGAATAAAATCAGTGTTTGCTGTTATCTAAATAAAATTATATAGATGATTATCTAGATAAAATTTTAGCGTTATCTTATCTCTATATAGATAATAAAAATAAGAATTATCTATATCTGTATCTTAGATGAAAGAAAGTGTTATTTTTACTAAATTATCTAAGATAACGTACAGATAATTTGGTTTAAGGCCACATAAGGTTGGCCACATAAAAATACTTAACAGTTACACTATTTAAATATGGATGGCGTTGTAGACCATGCCTTTATGTGTGTGTCATATAACTTAACCTGAATATATTCTATATCCCCCTTTATAATATAAATTTTTCTATAATTTATTTATAACTTTTTCTACTGTGTTTACATGAAGTCTTAAAAATATTATCTGCAAATTATCTAGATGAATCATTATATGATTTTATCTTTTATCTAGATATATTCAAAACGAAATCATCTTTATCTTATCTAAGATAAATTATATATTTTTATCTTATCTTTATCAAGCTAATTTTAAAATCATCTATGCACATATTATAGTTTTAGAAGCATCAACGTTGATGTTTCTTCAGAAATATTATGCATGTCTTATATCGTTCTGCCATTACTTCTATTGTTATGACGTCATTTTATTATCGCATATACAGTCGTAATTCACGGCATCTTGGGGTACGGAGAAAAGACGCAAGCGCTGTGGAACGTTATATATGCTATTAAGTAATGAGCAAGTTCTAATATAAAGGAGCGTGCGGGAGTAGAAGAGTAGTGTCGCGTACATAGGTTGAAGCGCATTGTCGCGAAATGTACGCCATCCTGATTCCATTCTTCCTAGGTTGGTAAGCCACTAACAAATATCTACAACTGCCCGAATCCGCGTGCCTATCATTTAACGTCGCGCTCGTCTGTCCGAATGTAAATCCGCGTACATTTTTTAATAGTTTTATTGAGAGAAATTCAAAAGTTCACAAAGGTTTCGATGAAGAAAATTTTGAAGAAAGAAAATCAGATAGAGTATCGCGTGCATATTGGAGACTTAGCAAATCTCATTTACAAAAATTCTATCTTTCTAGCGATATTAATATTAAATTTCATAAAAATTGTTCCGCCACGTTCACTTAGCGGCCGACGTAGTCGTCAACAACACGTCGGAATGGACGTACGGGCCGGAATACTTGTACGACGTGAACATTTCTTCTGTTCTAAAACCGGCACACCACAGACCTGTCCAGTATTATGAAGAAATTGCTACAGTAAACTGTCGCCCGAAAATGCCGGACCATCTGTCCTGCCATTTCAACAACGCGACGCAAATGGACTCTATCAAGAACAACAACGCGAGTCATGTATTGCACATGGAAGAAAAGTTTGAGATCAAATTTAACGAGCGCGGCGTGGAAGGCGTGATCGTCGAGCCGAACACTCTGGCGGACACTGTGAACGTTATCCGAAAGTTTGCCACTCAGTTTAACGTGGCTGTTGATCGGAGCAACATTGGCATGTCGCACTTTATGGTCAGAGAGAACTCGTCAATGGGCAACTGCGCGACGACGTACAGTGTCGCACACGAGAAACCCGGGACGGACACGGAAGCAGATTTTCGGCTCGTGGTATTCC